AAGGAAGGAAGGAAGGAAGGAAGGAAGGAAGGAAGGAAGGAAGGAAGGAAGGAGAGAGAGAGAGAGAGAGAGAGAGAGAGAGAGAGAGAGAGAGAGAAAAGAAAGAAAAGAAAGAGAACGGGATGGAGATATAGTTTGGTGTGAAGGCCCTGGGTTCAATCCACAGTACCACTAATCAATCAATCAATCTTGAAAAAAATCCCACATTTGCCTAGTATGGTGACACATGCCTATTATCCCAGCATTTGTGAGGTTGAGGTAGGAAGATCGTTGGGAGTTTGAGACCAGTCTGGGCTACAAAGTGAGCTCAAGGCTGCCTTAACTGCAGAGCAAAACGCTGTCTTAAAAAGACCAAGAAAAAAGTCCCACATATCTATTCAGTGGTCCTTTAGGTCCCGTTCACACTATGAAATAAAGGACTGCCTGCTCTAAACAATTAAATTCCAAGAGAAGCTTGGAAATGGCCATGGCTTCAGGAAAGAATGAGTCAGGCTGGGGCGAGAGAATTTGTGTGCTGGGACCCAGCATGATACAGCCAGTCCTCAGTTAACAAGGAGCTGTGATCTAAGAAAGGCAGTCAGGACTGGTATCCCTCGAGGGCCAAGCACATTTCCAGGGACATGACAGCCACAACTGCGGCCCAGCCTTCAGACTGCGGGACCGCCAGCCCTCTGTGCTGGTGTCAGTATGGGGGCAGCAACCAGGGAAGCAATATTTACATGCATGTCATCCCATCTGCTTCTGTGAAGTGTCTTGATCCCCATTTCAAACCCAGGAAACTGAGGCTCAGAGAGGGTGCATTCCATCCTCAGAGAGAGCACACAGCAGGAAATGGCTGAGCCCGTAGAGAGAAGCCCCAGGTTCTTTAGAGCTTGTACTGCCTCCCTTCTTCTCAGTACTAAGAATCAAGGGAAAAAATGAGAGAGGCCTGGGTGCTGGAGGCCAAAGGATGCAGGGCTGGAAAAGGAGGGCTGGTGCTTGGCAGTGTTCATATACCAGCTTGGACTGCACAGAGCACGAAGCCGACTCGGGTGGTGAGGGTTAAGGCCGGGTAAGCCAGAGCAGAACGGGCGTCCTGACAGCCAGGAAAATCGCTCTCTTCAGCCTTCAGCACCCAACGTCTACCCCAGCCATGGTTCCCAACTCCAGAGGGAGGTGAGTAATGACATTTCTAGGTGATTAACAGAATGGTCACCACGGGAGAGCCCCCGGCCTCCCTTCCCAGCCCAGATTGAGGCCCTTCCTTGAAGCTACTCACCTTTCCCACCTGGCGAGCCTGGGCCTCTGCACATCTCTGGGGGATTGTGGGATGATGTCATCCCCTGGCAATCCTGGGAGGTGAGCTCAGCCACAAGCAAGAATCCCAGGTGCGGCGCCGCGGTGGTGAGCTCATCGGCGCGGCCTCAGGAGGCCTCACCCGGGCACAGGTCCCCATCCTCCCAACCAGAATAACCAGAGTGGCCAGCTCCCCGGGCTAAGGGCCACCCAGAACAAAGGTGCTGAGAGGCCGGCGCACTGCGGTCCCAGGCCAGTCTGGTTATGTAAGGCCGAACTGGCTGTTCCCAGGCTCCTTCCTCTGGGGGCCCAGGCCGCAGGATGAACGCGGCTCAATTACCTGCGCCGCCCGATGAGGTCACTATGGCCGCCTTCCCTGTCCAAGGCAAATGTTCCAGGCCTGCTGGCTTCCTGCTGCCCCCAGCCAGGCCACAGGCCTGCTGCCCACAGCCACCTCTCCTCAGGGCCTGCCAAGGCTAGCCAGCCTTATGGCTGGGGCTGAACTGACTTTAAAAGGCCAAAAATCAGCCTACCTAGAAGAAAAATAAATGCCTTTTGTGGCATCCTTGCGGTTTGGGGACTCTCAAAAATCAACACCTAGCAAGGCCACAAGAAGACCCTTTGGAGGCAGTGGATGGAGGTGAGCACACCTCCTAGCTCTGCCTCTCAGAAGCCATATCATGCTGGGGACAAACTGCCTCATCTCGCCAAGCCTCAGTTTCCTCATCTGAACAACTGAAGAAGCTTTCAATGAAGTTTAAATATAGGCAAAATGGCTGTATGGTAATTGAAGCCAGAATAGTGGTAGTGGTTGTGGGATTATGGGTGGGCTTGGGGTGTACAGGGGAACCTTGCAAGAGGTGGAAATGTATTGTCTGATGACACGATGGTTACTTAGGTACAAGAGGGAAAACTCAGGAGCCTCTCCTTTCCGCTGCATGTAAGTGACATGTAAGTTCTACGTACCGCACTCAAAAGGAGAAAAAATAAGGAAGAGAGAGAAGGGAGAGGGGAAAAGATGAAGAAAGAAGAGATTAGGGATAAAAATTCTGGCTACTTCACAGGGCTGCTGGGGCACTGGTGGATGAAGCCAGAGGCTATGGGGGCCAGGGAGCTCCATAGTTCATCTCTTCCTCTCAAGGAGTGGACACAGTTCTTTGTAAAGAGCAGATAGCATCATGGGGGAAATCCACGCTGCCCAAGTTCTACTCCTGGCTCAGCCATCTCCTGGCTGATGCTGCTGGAGAGGGGCTTGGCCTCCACCAGCTGCAATTTCCCCAGATATAACTGGGGCCGCCATAGTACAGCTGATGCTCTGTATTGGCAGGTTTTACATCTTCGGATTCAGCCAATTATGGATCATAAATATCTGGTAAAAAACAAACAACACACACACACACACACACACACACACACACAACTGAGCCTGTACTAGACACATACAGGCTTTTAAAATTATTATTCCCCAAATGAAATAGCATAATGACTAGAGCATTTACACTATATAAAGTG